AATTCGTCCACCAGCGCGGCGTGTTTTTTTCGCCCCCCCTCGAGCAGCTCGGAGAGGATAAAAACCTCCCGCCGCCGCTGCTGGAGGACCTCGCGAAGATGCGCGAGGGATTGCCGGGGCAAAAAGGCATCCGCGATACTCCTGTGGACGTAGGCGGCGCGTAGGATGTATTGCTTTCGTCGGTCGATGAGAAGCTGGCGTTTTCGGTCGACCCCCGCCTCCGCCTCGAGGCGGGGGGCGCGCAAAGTCTGGATATGCCGCGCCGCCTCGGCGATGGCGTCGCGCTGCTGTTGGATGAGTTGGTGGAGTTTGAGCTTTTCCCGCCGAAGGGCCTCAAGACGCTGCGCCTCCAGGGGATTGTTTACTTTTTCCCGCCGAAGTTTCTCATTACTGGCGAGAAGACCCTCCAGGGACCGCTTGGATTCGCGAAGACGGGTCTCCTCCTTCTGAAGGGAGTTCTGGCTCTGATGAAGGGCCTCGGCAAAGCCCTGGAGGGCTGCCACGGTGTTGGAATCCTGATGTTGAAGCAGATTCATGACGCTGGTCTGGGCCTTCGTTCCCCGATCCCTTCCGTGTCCCCTTCACCTGTGCAAAGGTGGATGGATAAGGTCGAAGTATTGGCTCCTCCAAATAATTCGCTTTAAACTGTTCACAGTAGTCTCACTGACACCTTTTCTCTGTATTCATTTATGCCCTCCCCACACTTCCCCTGTGAAACCCACGCAGATGGGAAAGATGCAAAAAGCGTAAAGCGCAATAAACCTAAAGAAAGCAGCCATAGGAAGGAAAAAAAGAATAAAAAGAAGGAATGTTTGCAGAACTCGAAGGGTGAATACAACCTTTGATAACTTTGTGTGTTCCACCTTTAGCCTCACTACGAGTTCGTGTGGTCAATCTATGCTCACACAAGCACTCCGAAAATGTCAATCCTGCTCTACCATAAGTAGTGCCGTTCAGGTCATCTAGCAAAAAGGTGGCAGTGTTCAGGAATTAAATAAAATCACGAAATACAGGAGAAAAGGCATATTTTTTATTGGGGGTCTCAAAAAAGGAAGCGCCTGCGCCGACCCTTTGCCTCATCGTACTGAAGGCACGACTCGCATTATTGAAGGCCATCAGTGCAGCGGGAAGCGCGCTATTAAAGTAGACATCGCTTCCCTGTAGTCCGAAAAATCCATCGAAGGCTATAACGAAAAAGGAAATCTGAGAAAACTAAAGACCAAAAAATGATCCCTTCAATCGACTCAACTTCATAGCCGGAGCTATTCGATTCCACCGCCGGAAACACCGATCAAGCCATGTCCACGTTTCGGAAAGCAATTCCACCGGCAAAATTATTGTCAGCGGCATAATAATTTCTGGGGTTGTCCTTTCCCCTCATAGATCGTTTAGTCGAGAGAGCCATCAATAAACCCATTAAAAGAACTATTCTCCATACCGGAAGAACGACTCATCCGGCATTAATGGAGAACCAAATCTGGAAGGCTCTGGGCCCAGAACTTCTTTCCGTAGCGGCGTTGTAAACTCAGAGGGGTCCATGGGCTTGGAATACGCCTTTTCCACGCGTGTAAAGATGCGGTGATGGGCGCTGCCGTAAAGGATAGGCCGTGGTATAAGTGGAATAAATCCGAAGGGATGGCCCATCCCCCGTCTATCAAGGCGGTATCCCTAAATTCTTTACAACGCCATCCCTTTGGAACCCCATCCCGCTCGTTTTCTCTTTCTTTATCGTCTCGGTATCGGTTTACGGTCTGCATTCCGCCATTTCTAGAGCGTATTGAAAACGCAGAGGTCCGTTTTGCCAACACGCAGGCCATAAAATCCCCTCGGGGATATCAAAATTGCGTGAATCGGCGAAGTTCGAAATTGCACTTTTCCCCCTGAGGCGCCTCCGCCAGCGATAAAACCACCAAACGAATTCGCATCCGCCTTTCACCATGGGGCGCAGAGAGGTGGATGCGTGGGGTTTTAAATTCAACCCCCTTAACCTGCGTTAGAGAGAAGAGGGATTGCGCGCTATTTATTTTTTTTATTTTATTTTTTTTCGATTCGCAGGTTCGAAGTCATTTTGAATGAATAGAACGAACGTTTCGGGTTTGTTTGCTCGCGCCGTATTGCGGAGAAGTAGTCGCATTCGATTGGTGGGTCGGTGGGACGTGGTGCTTGCGGGTAGGACTTCACTGTTCGCTGCTTGCGAGCATTTGGAATGGTGTATAATACTAAATTTTCTTTAGTAATGAGGAGAAAAGATAAATTAATGAAATGAGTTTTCGCTAAAAGAACGAAAGTCACCATAGTACCCCAATCCTCTACCTCTTTTTTAATGATTGAACTAAGCAAATTATCCAAGATGAGTGTCATACTAAAAAAGTTAACCAGAATACTCATCTATTGCTCCATTACATTAAATAATAATGTTGGCAATATCATTACCATACCATTTTCCTTTATCCATTGCAAAGAGAAAACGTTCAGAAGGCTGAAAAAAAGGCAACTCATATTTTATCCGGGAGAATATTTTTTAAGAAATAAATAAACAAAGTGACATCAAAAAAAAATGATGTCAATCTAAATCAAAAACCATAAGCGAATGATAAAATAAATCATAAAAACGATTACAACAATGAATTCTATTGAACCCTTCGATGGTGCCGAACGAAAACAATGAGTACATTCTAAAAATAGAAAGGGTAATGAAAAATAAGGAACGGAAAGTTTATACTGTTGGTAGGTATTAGTTCCATATGGATCCTCCATATTCAGCACAAAAAAAAACTCTTTAATTTTTATTATTGCTTCTCCTTTTCCTAATTATATTTTGCATCGTTTTTATTCTATAAAAGACACAGTTTGCGTTAAAAAAAAATAAGTAGCCCTCGCAATATTTGACTCTCATTGACTCTATCATATTGAAAGTCTCATATGAATGAGTAAGATGCTAAGTCCCTTTTGTCACTCAACTTTCCACATAAACCTCACTTCTTAGTGTGTGTATGTGTATATATATAATCAGCCAGTGATAGGCAGATAGACTATCCACACCATAGAAAAATAATAAGTCCCGAATATATTAAAAATAAATTGGGATAGTAGAGGAAATAAGCATTTGGGCTCAATTTATAGTATTGAAAATAATAAAACGTGAATATTAAATGAACAGAAATAATCATAAATAAATAAAATGTTAAATGGTTTTGTTTAAGATTTACCAAAAGAAAACCCCTACTTCAAAGGTGTTCTATATTATTTTGATCGTCTTTATATTAAAGTTGGCATCAATACAGCAAATTTGGCCACAAAATCCTCGGTTCCCAGCTAATCTCCTCCGAGGTTGTGCGTCATATCTATCTTCCCATGAAGTTTAACAACTTGCCACTTGCAGTCTGGCTACACGCCTTTTGGTGCTCGTTTGGTAATTTTGGTAAAAAAAAAACTCGATCAACGCGTCTAGGCGCCATGCATAAAAGTCCTCAGTGTATGAAATAAAGTACGTCCTGCCGCCCATGGAAAACACCTTTGACGTCACCACATCTTCAGACCCCACATAGGAACCCATAAAAGAAACTCCACGCAGATAAAGTATTAAAAAAAAAACATTTCCTTCAAGTTCCATTACGGCGTCTTGCACATCAAACGATACATCTTTCAGGGGAAAAAAACTTATCCAACAGCTAAATCTCAGAAATACATTGTAGATCGGTATTGGTCAATGACCACTCAAAGTGAGGAATAAGAAAAATTTCCAGCAGCGCTGGCACCACACCACAAGAGTCCACAACAGGCCGTCTTCCACGTCGGGATTGGTAAACGTGCGGAGACGCATCCCCAGCGTTCGAGAGGCCGAACCTTCGTCCGCCGACCGTGAAGCCGCCTTTCCCCCCTCCCCCCCCCAACGCTAAAATACCCTGCCAAAAGACGATTTTCCGCCGCCGTCTAGAGGGATGTTCACACGGATGGCCAAAAGAAACCACATCAAAGGTGTCCTCAGGACGTACTACCGCGCAAATATCAAAAGAGGGCCCGATCGCGACGGGAACGTTTAACAGAACCGCGTAATTCCCTAAATTGTACTGTACACCTGAGAAATAATAAGAAAAAGGCCTCTTTTATAGAACCCGAACGGGTGATGAGGAGTTCGCATGTAAGCCCCCTCTCAGTAGGAAAGTTAGCGTGGTCCTCTTACTTGTGCGCAACGACGTCACCCGAGACAATCATCCCCAACTCCGGGGATGAAATAGAGAATTCCATTTCCGTAGGACGCGCTCTATCAGTGTAGATTTGATATGGAGGTGGAAAGGGGGGAAATGACGAGTAATTGATAATAAAAGTTGTGGACAAAGTTTGTGATAGAATTTCTATCCGGAGGGTAATGAACTGGCGCGCTACTTGTGGCATGGTATTTTGGCAATGTGTTGTAAAATAAGTTGTAATGTTGCAATAAACATTCATGAGATCAATTAGCTTTCTTTGATATAGGTTTGACGATTTTTTAAAGTTGTATGCATTATGACACACCATGAAGTGTTACCCTTCTTGGCAGCGATCATAATCCGAGAGGGCACATCAAGCTGAAATACTATGTATTATATATTCAAGTTAGAAGTAAAACTTTGATCCTCAGTTCTCTATTTTTTGGAACTCGCTCCTGAACAGTTCCAGATAGTTGACACACTGAAATTAACACTATTAAAAAAAAGTGCCGGCACTTAGCCTTCCTCTTCCACATCCTACTTCATAAAAAGTAGTAAATGCCAATAAGACGATAGGACGGCCGATACTATCGTGGATACTTGTTCAACTCAATACCGTAATCTTAGTCAATCGAATACGTATTATGCACCTGCTTTCTAAACTTATTACAAGAAAAGCAGGTTTGTTATTACACTGAACCAATATAGAGATATATATCCAAATATAAGTATATAAACCAATAGTTGTGCATATCAATAATCCCAATTCCACCACACGCCCTCGGTTCAGGACACCCATGCTCCCTGACCCGTCACACCTCCGGTAAACACCCCCCTAAATCCCACCCCCCCATGACACTTCCCCAGCGCGGCCCGTTCGGGTCCGCAGCAGGCGCCAGTCCCAGATGTAACAGCCCTGCGCCGTGTAACGCCGCGGTGGAGGGGTCCCAGGGCCAAGCCCGGCTTCCCCCTCCCTCTTCCCCTGGACGGCCTCAGTGCGGCCCGTTCGGGTCCGCAGGGCGCTGCAGCAGGCGCCAGTCCCAGATGTAACAGCCCTGCGCCGTGTAACGCCGCGGTGGAGGGGTCCCAGGGCCAAGCCCGGCTTCCCCCTCCCTCTTCCCCTGGACGGCCTCAGTGC